TCCCGTCCCCTCCCTCTCCCTCCCTCCCTCCTCTCCCTCCTCCCCTCCCCTCCCCGTCCCCTCCCCTCCCTCCCCTCTCCCCTCCCTCCCTCCCCTCCTCTCCTCTCCTCTCCTCTCCTCTCCTCTCCTCTCGTTTCCTTTTCTTTCTTGACAGGGTCTCCCTCTGTTGCCCCAGCTAGAGTGCAGTGGTGTCATCAAAGCTCACTGCAACCTCCAACTCCTGGACTCAAGTGATCCTACTATCTCAGCCTCCTGAGTAGCTGGGACTACAGGCATATGCCACCATGCCTGTCTAATTTCTCTATTTTTTTGTAGAAACTGGGTCTTTCTCTTGTTCAGGCTGGTTTCAAACTCCCGAGTTCAAGCATTCCTCCTACCTCGGCCTCCCAGATTGCTAGGATTACAGGTATGAACCGCACCCAGACTCACCTTCATTATTTCTTTACTCTACTTAGGTGCCATCATGAAAGGAGGCATTGAGAATTCTAGTTCTTTACTTATAGAGGGACCCTTCAGTTCAGAGCAGTTATGAGAGTATATACATGGCATTTCTGTGCATGTTTCTAGTAATTAGATGCTGGTTTTTTTCTTCACTTAAAGTGAAATACAACAAAATGTTTAATGAACAAATTTATCTTAGTAAATATGAAACTGCCAGAGAAGGTAGTTGTAGTTGGAGTGGGATCCATTGTGTGTAGCTTGATCTCAGGAAAAGAGGAAGCTAAGGAAGAGAAGGAACCACATCTCAATGATGCAGGGAACCTTGGCTCAGAAAAGATGCAGCGAGGAATGGGAAGACTGGAGTCCTGGGAGGGAAGGGGGAGTTGGGGAGACGAGAGAGTGTACAACAGAAAACCCAGTGATACACTTGCTTTAAATTAAATATACACTTGCTATGTTATTCTATGGGGAGGGAAAAAGTAAGAAAGTCAGTTTTGTGGGCTATTCTAACCTGTAACAAACGAGTGCCTATGGTGTGCTTATAATGCTGTTTCTTGGTCTATTTAATATAGACTTTATTGATTCCTGTGATGTTAAGTTAGGATTTACTTATTGAACTTGAACTCTTCCTAACACAATTCCTTTTATGTTTCAACAGTTATGACTCAATTTTTACCCACTTTATCAATAGTTTTTAATTTACAATAACATACTTAAAACTTAATTCTTATACCACCAAGTTTTAACTATCTCTTGACTTCTCCCTTTGTAAGATGTGATTTTATGTCTCTACCCTTCTGCTATGGTTTGAATGGTTTTTTGTTTTTGTTTTTTTTGTTTTTGAGACAGAGTCGGGTTCTGTTGCCCTGGCTAGAGTGCAGTGGTGTCATCATAGCTCACTGCAACCTCAAACTCCTGGGCTCAAATGATCTTCCTGCCTCAGCCTCCAGAGTAGCTGGGACTATAGGCATGTGCCACCATGCCTAGCTAATTTTTCTATTTTTTGTAGAAAAAATAGAACTGGTCTACAACTTCTGGTCTCAAACTCCTAGCCTCAAGGGATCTTCCCTTGCCTCAGCATCCCAAAATGCTAGGATTACAGGAGTGAGCTATTGTGCTCAGCCTGGTTTGAATGTTTTTGTCCCCTCCAAATTCAGATGTCAGAAATTTAATCTGCAATGCAACAGAATTGAGAGGTGAGATCTAATGGGATGTGTTTATAAGGGGTTAAAGCCCTTATGAAAAGGGCTTGCAGCAGTGAATTCTCTCTGCTCTGCTGTTGTGTGAGGAACAGGGTTCCTTCCCTCTGGAGGATGCAGTGTTCAAGGTGCCATCTTGGAAGTGGAGACCAGATCCTTACCAAACACTAAACCTGCCAGTGCCTTTATCTTTGACTTCTCTAGAAATGTGAGCAATAAATTTCTGTTCTTTATAGGTGACTCAGTCTCAGGTATTCCATTATAGCAGCACAAAACAAACTAATTGACTGAAGGTCCCATCTGCTACACACTGAAATCCATCATTATATTTGCACTGAGGCCATGTTTCCCAGCATGGCAGGGATATCAAGGCAGGCTCCTTCCTGGGAGATGCAGAACTCTGATGCATAACTAAATAAACTAAAATAACTAAAACATTATCAAGGTTGGAAAGATTTACATTTGTTTATAACAGAACAGATCATAATTACTGATCACAAAAATTGACGAATAAATGGCATCTGTACTACGTAAACATGATTTACCCTACAGCCAATTAAAGTTCTCTAATTGCATTTCTTTCACTAGGTATGTCAGTTTGACCCAAGATAAGATTGAATATGCAAGAAATTTATTAGGGAAAATACCTGTGAGAGAAAATGGGAAGAGAGCAGAGAGAGGCTGGGGAAGCCATCTGACTGTGATGCAGGTCTGATCCCATATGTAGGAGAGAGAGAAGGAAGAAAAGTTGGGTGGATGCATTTTAGATTATAGTATAGTTTTAAGGAAAATTTGGCAAGGCTGGTGGGGAGTCCTTGAGCCCAAGTTGCCTGTCAGAGCTCTGCATCTTCCAGGAAGGAGCCTGACTTAGTATCCCTGCCATGATGGGAAGCACAGCCTCAGTGCAAATATAACGATGGATTTCAGTGTGTAGCAGATAGGACCCTCAGTCAATTATAATCCCGGTATCTAGAGATCTAAGAGGTGCTTCTCACGTCTACCACATTAGGGTTACAATGCTATTATCTCTGAACTTCTCAAAGGAGACTGTTCTAATTGTCAAGGACAAATGCATTCTCATTTCTTATAATTCACCAATTATATAAAAGCATGCCACATTTTTATATTTCTGTCATGTTCTTCAATCTCCATAGTAAACATGATCCACAAAAGAACAATCCTTGAGCCTACCCGTGTTGTGGTTGATGCCATGTAGGCATAGTCACATCATGGCCGGTTAACTCTGTCAATTAAGGTTAAACCTGGTGTAACAAATATTATTGATTACAGGTAGAAATGTTGTCAAATGGGAGAGAATTCTACTAAACCAGGAGCCAGGAGAAAAAATTACAGTCCACAGATTAGCTGTGAAATCTTAATAAGTCACATCACCAGTACAAGTCCTAATTTTCACATCAGTCAAGTTGGCTGGAGCATGCATTCTCTCAGGATCCTCCTGGTTCTAAAGTTCTGTGGATCCACAAGATTGTTCTTGATCTGAGGTAATCTGCATTGTGGACTCAATCTAGAAAAGAATAGTGACTCCTTATGTTGTCTTTGAAACTCTGGCTGATAGCATATGATCAACTGCTAAGACTATCTCTGCACCCAGAGGACAGAAAATATCTTTAAAACCTCCATTACTCTGAAGCCAGTTTTCCTGTCAGTTGATTTATTATTTATTGAAAGGGGTTTTCTCAGCTTTTGTGAGGTGGGGAGCATAGCTTAGGTGCTGAAATTTAGAGAGGAGGCACATCTTTACCTGATGGGTCAAATTACCCTGAAGGGCAATCACAGCTACTTCTCTAGGCATATTTTTAGGTTTTTCTAATGGGCAAGGAAGATAACTAGGGCATGGTATCACAGGATTTTATCCAGCTTGACAGGATGAGCTTATCTAACTAGTAGAATTTGGACCTGTTTCAGAGCTTTGAGTCACTTAGTAAGGGCAACTTTCAGAGCTGGGGGCTGGATACCATGCAATTCAACTCAAGCAACTTTTATTGGGCCTATTATATACCAAGTATTATATATGATGAGGGATTCAAATGCAAACCAGATATTCAAGGAATAGATATTCAAGGATCTCTCAGCTTAAGCCAATTAGTCTAATTAATTTTATTCCATTTATATTTTTTACACTGTAGATCCATAGCTCTCAAACTTTGCTGCACAATTATTTCACCTGGGAAACTTAAAAATCATGCCTGGACCATACTCCATGACAATTAAGTCATTCTCTTGGGGGTGGGACCTAGATATTCATATTTTGTTTTTTTAACTTGTTAGATGATTCCAGTGTGCAGTCAAGTTTAAGGAACAATTTTATAGAGCCTTCCTCTTCAAAATGTAGTCAGAAGAACAGCAACATGATCACCAGGGAGCTTGTTTACATTGAAGAATGTCAGGCCCCTTGTGAAACCTACTGAATCAGAAACTACCTTTTAACAAGATTCCCATGATTTGCGTGCACATTAAAGTTTGAGAAGCAGTGGTATACCATGTTTACCAAGGACTTGTTCTGTGTATGGAAAGAGCTCTTGTCTGCTGATTTCTAAAAACAAATTAATTGATGAAGCAATAACCTTTTTTATGACTCACTGTCTGAATGACTCCTGAATGTGAGTCTTCTGAATTACATGGCAAGTGCTGGAGTTATGTACTTTCATGTTGGAGAAATGACCTGCTTTTACTAGTTAACATCCTAAAATATCTGAAAAGAACAAATAGCTTCTACTGGTAAGACAGGACTTCAGTCTTGAATTCTTTAAATTCTTGAGTAAAGATCATTCCTTTCCTTGTTTTTCCTTCTTAAACATATGAAATAAACAAAAAACAGCAGAGAATTAAGTAAAACAAAACATTTAAAAAATTTAATTCATGAGATATAATGTAGTATATACATATGTTTGAATATGCATAGAAAAAAGATCTGGAAGGATACATATCAAATTGTTAACAGTTTACCTTGGGGGTGTGGAATTGGGGGAGGATGAGGCAGGGTGCTCTTATTTTGAAATTCATATACTTCTGTACTTTTTGAAATTTTGCAATGAGCATTTTTTACAATAATCAAAACCATAACAAAAAATTTAAAAATAAATATAGTAACAAATACACACACACAATAATTTTAAGAGCTACACTGGAGGAATGGAGAATTAAATCGCATGGCACACTTTTCCACTAATACTGTGGTGGCACTTAATTGTGTAGTCTATAATCAAAGAAACAACATTAGAGAAGCCATATTTAGCAACACTGAATTTAAAAAGTCCCCTCAGATAAGAGCCCTCAAGCAATGACCCCTCAAGATGGATATTAAAATGGAAGGCAGAACTTAATTATTTCTGGAGGGTCTATAGGAAAAAATGATAATCTGAAAACTTCAGAAAAAAGATAAAGCTTCACAGAAGTCACTCTGAAATACTAAAACAGTTAACCAAAGGCTAGAAATTGGAGGTATGAAACCACTACCCAGTCTAGACTCAAAACTAATACACTAAAATCTTGGTAATCTAGGGATGTAGATTAGGGATATCTACTTTATCCGTTTGTTTGTTATTTCTTCCTATTTCTCAATTGGTCTGCTCTCTATCTCAATGATTTTAATGTAAAAATACTGCAATGTTAATTGGAAGGAATAAAATTAATTCCATCTAGATTCAGTGTCGATTTACTTTTCTATTAATAGAAAAAACCCAAACTTGAGACTAATGATTTCCCATTATTCATTTTTTTCCTCATAATTATTTCTGGCTACTTAATAAACATTTTAGAAGATGAAACTTCTGATTTCTCATGGATCCCTGAAGTTCTGTATTATTTAAAATTTGAGGAAATCATCTCCTGTTCTAGTTTTTTCTTCTTTTAATGAAGTCACCGAAGATGACAAACTCTTCATTATTATGAACTTTTTTTCCAACAAAGATTCTTTAGATGACCATCAGGTTGACAGTTAAATATCCTCGTCAAAATCAAAACAATTGTAAATGGAAAGTTCTGTCTTTTGCAAGCTACACTGTTAAGAGCTTAAACTCATAATTTTGTACTACTCCTGAGTGTTCTTGACCTAGGTATCCAAGGTTTACGTAGGATTATATACAGTACATAAGGTGAAAGATTTGCCAAAATTTAATCTGAAAATTATTATAAATAGCACAGATAAAGGGTATAAAGTGATAATGACCATATCAGTTTTAAAAGTTGCAAGATGTGGAATGTTGCTGTTTCTCAATGGATTATAGTCTTTTAATTAAAAAGAAAAGAGAAAGAAAACACCAAAGGATTCATCATAATATATATAAAGTATTATTTAACACAATGCTTGTTACACCATAACCATCAATACACACCGGGTATGTAATGAACAATGGATTAAAACAGTAAACAAAAATAGAAGAACCCAAAATGGAGGGAAAAACTTAGACCTGATTTCTTTGAGGATGCCTTTAAATGGAAAGTCGAAGCTCACAGAGAGCAGTAAGGAATTCTGTGTTTTCTGGATCTATCTTTTGGGCCCTCTCGTAGTACTCAGCAGCTTGCCTCTTTTCTCCCTCAAGCTTGTAAACAAACCCTAGGGCACTTAAACTCTGCACATCTAAAGCATTGTGACAAAGTCTCTTGGTAGCCAATTTCTTCACAGCACTTGTTAGTTTGGTACGAAGAGATGACCTGTTTTTGACTCTTAAAGCTTCTAAATAATGATGGATGGCAGTATTTTCTGACTTACAGTGAAATTCCTGAAAGCGGCCATAGTGATAATGGATCTGATGTTTGTGATCATCAGTTATGTTCCCCAGACAAAGGGCTTTCTGGAAAATGTCCTCAGCATTGCTATACTGGCCTCCCTCAGCATACATGTTGGCCAGGTCTGTGTAGGCAAATGCAAACATAGAGTCTCGTTCCACAGCTGCCTTGAAATGAAATATAGCAGATCTAATCAGCTCATAGACCTTCAGTTTATCCTTTCCTTTAGGTTTGTTGCGTGTGGCCTTCTTGATTTGGATCATTTGAGCCCGGTAGCAAAGTCCCATCTGGTGATGCAGGAAAGAAGAGGTTGGAGTTGCTTCCAAGGCCTTTTTTAAAAGTTCAAGAGCTTTGTCCCAGGAATGTTTTCTCCTATAGAATTTGGCTGCATAACGAAGGACATAAGGCTGGAATGATATTTGGTCCAGGATTTCTTCAATATACTTTTCCCCCTCAGCTTCCGCATGTACATCTTGAAGTTTCAGTGCCAGAAAGACCTTAATGTAGGAGTTATCTGGGTTCAGGGTGACAGCCTTCCTCAGAGGCCCCAGGGAAAAGCTCTTTACAGACCCTTCTCTGTCAGAATCATCCAGCCGATATACAGTGATAGCATAACCAATGTTAAATTCTGGATTGTCAGGTTCCACTTCCAAAGCTTTCTCAAAGGCTGCTTTAGCCTTTTGGTAATACTTTCCTCCAAATTTCAAAAGTGCCCACCCTTTCTCACAGTCAATCTCAGGACGCTCCAACCTGTAGTCAGAAGGACTGGACAATTTCCTGCAGACGTTCCCTACCTTGTCTATATACTTCTGAGCTTCTCTAAGCTGGTCCACGTGATAATACACCCAGGCATAGTTTCCCCAAGTGACCAGACTTCGTACTTCTTCTTCGTCTGAGTGTTCTCGCCGGATTATTTCTTCTGCTTGTTCCAAGCACCCTAGAGCATCTTTATTTTGGCCTTTTAGGTGCTTCACATAGGCCAATAGGTTATAAAGAGCAAGTCTGGATTTTGTGGTAAGAAATTCAAGCTGTTGCCCAATTGTATCTTCCACATCAAACAGATCAATGTCTTCCTTAAGTAAATTCCATGTAAAGTGACATTCTAACTCCAACAGAATGGTCTTCAAAGCATCCTTAGGAATTCCACTGTCAAAGATAAAATCTTTTTTAGTTTTTAAAGAAATAAAAAAATAATTAATTTCCTAAGTTTTAAATACTGTTCTTTGCATAACAACCAATTTTATCCCTTCTTACAGTTAAAGCACTAGGTTCCTGTAACTTTATATTAGAGTTTCTTCTATAGATAGTTATATCCTAGAAATATTTCATTTAAATTCTATTTATTGCAAAACCAGTTTTGGAGAGATGACAGGGCTTTCTATATTATAGGGTATCTATTTCCTTTTGTTAGTCACTAAGCCCTTGAAAATTAGGAATAAATACATACGTGTTCAATAATTAACATAAAATTCTCTATTATGAATAGTGAAGGGAGAGAAAAAGAGAAGGTGAGAAATAAGAAAAACAAGTACACTGACAAGGATAGAGAAGCCGTACATATATATCATTTTTGCAGGGAAAGAAAGACAGACTCCTAGAGAGAACAGGCACAGAAACAGACAGGAATAGGTATACCAAGAGAAGGGAAAAAGCTTATGTTTGAGATAGGCAAAAGGAGAGTAATAGAGATTTAGAGGAAGATGGGGAAAAGAAAAAAGGAAGCTTAGTAGGTTTTAATGTGAGTCCTTCTGACTCCTGGGATTGTGGGCAACAATAAAGGCTAACACCTATCATTAACTTATCTTTGCCCTTCACCTCAAGAAATATTTGTTGAATGCCCTACGTGCCAGGTACAGTGCAATTTCTACAGGGCCCACTGGAGATATTGTCATGAAGTTTATATTTTAAGGAATAGTCAATTACAACTCAGTGTTCCAATAAAGTCCTATGGAAGCAACTCAGGAAGGATAGAGTCCATCTGTGGCTTTTACTTGGAAGGAATCTCTTTTGGTTTTCCTTTATTTTTTTTTTTTTTTTTTTTTTTTTTAGAACCTACAGCGTATCTGGAGGTTTTCCTTTATTAAAGCAGCTTTCTCTCCTTACTCTTAGTCCATCCAATTTGAGAAGTGCTGTTTACCCTCACCCCAGTCTATGGGAAGGCACAAGATATCCCAGTCATTCACTGGTCCCAGTGGTTTATTCAGATAGTCCAATTAAAATTTAGTTGTGCTGAAATTGGACTTTGCTGGAACTTTCTTCCCTTTACAAATTTTAACCTGGTAGGATATAAGTTTGGAGTTGCTGGTGATCATTTTTCCAAACGCTTGGAAAGAGCCTGCTTGAGAAAGAATCTAACACAGAGGCAAGCAGAACTTAGGAAGGGAAAGAGACTGATAATGATACTAAGAACTTAGATGCAGTCTCGCCTGGATCACCTTGTTTCCCCCTGAATTTCTGTTTACTTAAGCAAATAATCTCCCTCTCTCTTTGCTTACACCAGTTGGAATTGGGTTTCTCCTGTTTGCAACCCACAAAGTCCTGATTAATATACCTAATTTTATTCGTTTGTTTTGCTGAAGGTAATGATGATATAGTCAGGAAAGACTTTCTAAACCTGTCACTGGCCATAATTAAAGGTCACAAGAAATGTACAGAAAAATATTACGTAAGGCCTCCCTCAACAGAAGGAAATGCTCTAATTATAAGTTGAAAAGTCCTTTTATGTGTATTCTGTATGTGTCTCTGTGTGTATTTCCCTTTCTGCCGCACATAGGACCTCCCTCCTTGCATGTACAATATAAATATGTACTTACATAAATGTGTATGGGTAACTGCAGTAATATTTCTATCAATATACATTTATTGATCACTTCATGTCACACATGCCAGGAAATATCCTATTATACTGGACAAAGCACTCATTCACTAACAAGATAAGAAAAAGGTCCTTTCTTCATGGTAATTTCATTCTGGGAGACAGTGCAAGAGGAGTTGACAGAAAATAAACATGTAAACAAATAAATGGACAGCATAATTCCTGATAGTATTAAGTGCTAAGAACTGAAACAACAACAACAAAAACAGCATAATGGGATTGAGTGGTGGTGGGGCGGCAGGTACTTTAGTTATAGTGGGCAGGAACTAGCTCTTGTAGAAAGGGGCAATTGAAGTAAGGAGGCAATTATAAAAGATCTGGGGGCAGAGTGGTCTAGTCAGTGCTTCTTAAGCAAGGCGATTGACGTTTGCCCACCACCACACCACAAGACATTTGGTAATGCCTAGAGACAATTTTGGTTGTCACCGCTGGAGGATTGCTACTGGCAGTGAAGAAAATTCTGGAGATGTGAGAGTAAAGTTAGTACCAGGGAGTCATGGGCATACAGATGAACTTGAAAACTATAAGACCCAGAATAAGATTACCTAAAGAGTGGCCATAGATGAAGAAGGTCACAAACTAAGCTGTAAGACACTCCAGGTCAACAGAGTAGAAGCATCAGGAAAGAAGGCTAAGAAAGAATATTCAGGGAGGAAGTAAGAAAACCAAGAAACGTGTTGTAATCATAATGGAAGCCTAAGGAAGAAAGTATTTATTTCAAGAAAGAGATGGATATTAAACATGTAAAATGCTTTTAATGGGTGGAGAAAATAAGGACAGAGAAGAGATTATTGTTTTGGCAGGAAAGTTGTGAGGGATCTTACTACAATGTGCCTTTCACAGGATAATTCTTTATCCTGGTGAATAGCCTAATGCCTAAGTGTCTGTGATCAGGAGCCCTTCTCACAGGAAACTTACTGTATTTTTTATATCTTTAGATATGTTTAGATACACAAATATTTACCAGTGTGTTACAACTGCCTGATTATGCAGTATAGAAACATGCTGTATAGGTTTGTAGGCCGCAGCGACAGGCTATATAACATATAGCCTAAGTATATAAGAGGCCGTGCCATTTAGATTTGTGTAAGCATACTCTGTGATGTTTGCAACATGATGAAATCACCTAACCACGCATTTCTCAGAATGAATTCCCATAGTTAACGGACATAGGACTGTAAATATTGCTGAATGAATGAATGAAGTTATATACTACCAGCTCCCGGCATGTCCAGCCGAGAGGTATAGGCCTAGATAAAAAACACTTGAATTCCAGATAAGGGAATTCCTGTCAGTTCCTTCCTTCCTACTAATGTCTCCTAACTTTCTCCCGTTTCAGTAGTCCTTGTTCCAATTGTTTAATATCTTGATATGTTCTCTGTCTGGCTTCAAGTTTGGATTTTGAAAGTAGGTTTTTTTGAATTGTTTCTTGTGATGCTGACTGGGAAACCTGGTAAGGATGTCCCTTGGTAACTATTTCCTTTCTCTTCTGTAACTGCACCAAAAGCATGGGTAAGAAATGACATTCCCTTATGGCCTGCCCAAATCCATGACATTAGGACCTTAATGGCTCCCCGCCCACCATAGAGTGAAACAAACATCTGCCTGTTCTGAAGGTCACTACCAGCCCACCCCAAAGAGGATGAGGAGAGGTATTATGAATGTGGTTGTGAGATCTCAAAAGGACATTCAATCAGGCACTGAAGTGCTTTGGAAGGCACTGAAGGCTCTATGGAATTTATGCACAACTGGACACCATAACAAGTTTTACTGTTTAACCTTTGTCTATTTAATTTTTTAACTTTGTTTCTGGGAAGCTGAGAGAGGCTACTGTGTCTGACGAGGCATCTTTTATCTTTAGATAATCCTGTTCATTTGCTAGGAAGAAGCAGTCTTTAATTGTCCCTGGGAGACAGTCCCCAATGGGCCCAAACCCTCTTTCATCCAGTCCTGCACATACAGTGCACTCCATCCCTTCTCCTAGTTGTCTCTCCAAGCCCCTTCCTGCTAGCTCCCTCCTTTCTTACAAATGTTAAACTTCTTTTTCACCTATAATAATAATGGTTAACATTTACTGCGCAAATATTATGTGCTAAGCAGTCAATTAACCCGTTCCACAGTCCCCAGAGATGGATGCCGTTAATTTTTACAGAAAAGAAACAGACTTAACAGAGTTTAAGAAACTTTGCTTTGGAGCACCAGCTAGTAGTCAGTGTTCAGGGTCCAGGTTTAGAACAAAGGACTGTCAGATTTCAGCGCCCAGGAACTTAACCTTTCATTCCTCAACGGATTAAATGCCAGTGGTTCACTAACCGCGTGCAGGGCAGGGTGCTGGCCCTGCGGGACACAAAATGGGTAAGAAACGGACCCCACCGGGCTAAACTAGTCAAGGAGACAGATAAACAAATCCTCCTAAAATAATGGGTTGGGTAGCCCGGTAACAATCTGTCCGTGGCACAAAGGTAGCTCCCGGGGAAGGAAGAACTCAGACCGCCAAATCAGAAAGGTGCAGTGGCAGGCACCTGCGACGCCGGAGGGCTGGGGGGACCTAGGCAAGGCAGCTGCGGGGAGAGCACGCGACGAGAGCTCGCCGAGGCAGACCGGTGCCCGCGGCGGCCGCCGGAACGGCCCGGGGCTCCCCGGCGGGCGAGGGGGCGCCGCAGGCGCGGACGGGCTCCCGGAGACGGCGGCCGCGGACCCAACACGGTCACCGTCGGCGACAGGCCTCCGGGGGGCGTCGCCCGGCCACACGCCCCGACGGCTCTGGCCGCAGCCGCCCGGGAAGGGACGGGACCTCCGGGAAGCGTCCGCTCGGACACCGGCCGGGGCGCCAGGCCCGACTTCGGACGCCGCGGACCGGGCCGGGCTCCCGCGGAGGGTCCCGGGCGCAGACGCGCGGCTGCCGGCGCGAGGGGCTGGGCCGCAGCCCTGCGCTGCAAACGAGTAAACGAACACCGGTCTGCGCCGCCGGCCGACGCAGGGCTCGGGTGCAGAGGCGGAGAAGAGCCCTTACCTCATGGCGGGTGGCGTCTGCCGGCCGGCCGGCGGCGCGGGCCCCAGCGCTCTCTCTCCTCAGGCCGGCTCCGCGGCGGGCGGGCGTGCGGCGTGCGGGTGCGTGTGCGCATGCGCACGCTGCAGCCAGGCCCCGCGGGCTGGGACCCGGCCCCGCCGCCGCCTTTGTTAAAGGAGTTGACCCCGAGCAGAAAAGGGAAAGTAGAAAGTGAATCTGACCCGCGAGCGCTCGGAGAACGGCTCGGGAAACCGAAACTTAACGCAAGAGCAAGGGAGCGGCGAACGGAGTCCAGGGTCGCTCGAAGTTGAATTTGCAGCGGGGGCTCTGCCCTTGGGTCTCTCGGTTCTCACCTGCCTCGCTGAGTCTTCGGCTGCCTGGTTACCTTTTTTTTTTTTTTTCAGACAGAGTCTCGCTTTGTTGCACAGGCTAGAGTGAGTGCTGTGGCGTCAGCCTAGCTCACAGCAACCTCAAACTCCTGGGCTCAAGCAATCCTTCTGCCTCAGCCTCCCAAGTAGCTGGGATTACAGGCATGTGCCACCATGCCCGCTAATTTTTTTTCTATATATATTACTTGGCCAATTAATTTCTTTCTATTTATAGTAGAGACGGGGTCTCACTCTTGCTCAGGCTGGTTTTGAACTCCTGACCTCGAGCAATCCGCCCGCCTTGGCCTCCCAGAGTGCTAGGATGACAGGCGTGAGCCACCGCGCCGGGCCTGCCTGGTTACCTTTTGATTTCTTTTTAAATAAAAACGACGGGAGATTGTTCAGCACTATTTAAGTGTCGCCGTGATGCTCTTTCCACCTTTCTACATCCTACCTGGAAACTGATGTCCCTGCTTCCATTCCAGTCTTTTGATTCAACAAGCTATTGTGTTCGGTGTGTATTTTATAAAGGAGAGAAATTGTGGGCTCAAATGTATGTACATTTTAAGTTTTGATGGATATTGCCAAATAGCTTCACAAAGAGGTTTTATACACTCCTACCCACAACTGTCGGAGAATGCTTTTCTTCCACGCCCTTGCCAATGGTGCTTTTTGTAATAAGGTCCCAATAAAGATGGGGGTGGTATTGGGAATCCAAGCAGAAAATGCCAAATACCCCTACATTAAAATTTTTGCCCCTCCGAATTTAGTCATTCATTCATTCAACAGATTTTACTGAACAACTGTTAAGAGCCAGACCTTGTTCAAATTACTGTCACTATAGCAATAAAGAAAACAGACAAGGGCCTTAGTGAGTTAATGTATTCAAAACCTCAATATTCTGTCCGTTATACGTCATTTGCATTGATTTTGAAATTTTAAAAACATATTGCATTAAGGTATTGTCTATCTGGGTCACTGAGCTTCTGGCACCCCTATCCCCTAAATCTTACAGTAGCCCAAGGCCAGTGCCTCACTTCAGGCAATCACTTTTAACAGCTTCTTACAGCCATACTGTCTTATTCAGAAACCACTAGTCACATGTGGCTGTTGAGTACCTGAATTTTTAATCTAAGTTTAAAAACTGATAATTAAGTTAATAGAAAACTTAAAAGAATATTTGGGAAAACTTAGATAAATGAATCTACTTTTTTTAGTTGCAAATTTTATGAAATATAAACACAGATCAAGTATTCCTAATGAAAATTTAGCATTCAGTTTGTGATGTGTTCTGTCCTATCTTCTCAAGAACAATATATAAAATCAATATCCACTGAAAGGAGCAAAAATGTTAAACAATTGATGCAAATGTATTGGGAGCCCCAAATTTGGGGATTTTCTTGTGGTGCTCTATACTGGTGGTCTCCCAAAAGATGTCCATGTCTGAATCCTCAGAACCTATGAACATGTTATTTGATACTTTACATAGCAAAAGGGACTTTGTAGATGTTGTTAAAATTAAGGATCTGGGGATGGGGAGATTATCCTGGATTATCCAGGTGGGCCTAGTATAATTGCAAGGGTCCTTATAAAAAAGAGATAAAGAGAGTCAAAGAAGAGAAGATGATGCAAAGAAGGAAGCAGAGAGAGATTTGAAGATGCTACACTGTTGACTTTGGAGACGGATGACCCAGTCATCAGCCAGAGTGCAGGCAGCCTCCAGAAACTGGAAAAGGCACAAAAAAGGCTGTCCCCTTGAGGAATGCTGCTGTGTTAGTACCTTGACTTTGGCCTAGACATTTCAGACTTCTCACCTCTGGAATTGTAAGATAATAAATTTTTCAGATTTTAAATCAATTTTGTGGCAATTTTTTACAGCCACAATCAGAAACTAATACATCCTCCCCTAAAACATGTATAAGAATGAAAAATCAATGACATTGCTTCTTTATTTTTTCCTTCCAACAATATTATTTGTTGTGCATTGCCTTGTAATCAAATGTCATTCTTCATAATCAAAGATGATGGCTACAGATTGTCTCTCAGATCATTTAGCATTCTTGTCATATTTCTCAATATCAGCAAATGACTTGGTAAATAGTAGTGCTTCAGATAAAATGGCATAAAATAAGAGAAACTCCTTGCAACAATTTGACACTGAATTAAAACATCTTTATGGTGAAAGCTGACCTTTAATTGATTGTGTATTTATTTTACTGTCTGTCTCTCTCACTAGATTGTAAACCAAATGAGGTTTGATAAAAATGTCCAGGTGTTCACCCCAGTATTGTTGGTCTTTAGCACTGAAAACTGTTGATAAAATGAATCAATTAAACATTTTAGTGTATATAAGTCTAATGTTTTATTTGCTACAAATCTATTCAACAAGGTTTTTTTCTACAGTATAGCATTCATACAAATGGTTTGTTTCTCTCTCACACACACATTCGATATCATTATTTCTGAATACAACTGTTTTATCGGATATGAGTAATTGTTCAAAAATTACATTATTATAGTGAATTTATATAATTTGTTTCTGAAAACAGCAAGCAGAAAAGATAATTAGTACATGTTAACCTAAAACCAGATGAAATGTGAAAGTAGCTGCTATTTCAGTGCCTGGGGACCTTGTCCTGTGGAGTTGTCAAAGCTATTCTCAGGGCCCGCTCATAGTAGTCTAGGGCTTCATTCATATTTCCTTTCAATTTGTAGGCAAACCCGAGGATGCTTAAGCTTTCCAGGTCTGATGCATTTCTCTGAAGTCTCTTTAAAATCAATTTCTTCAAAGAATCGATACTTTTATCCCTTGCAAATGAGGCCGTTCCTATTTTTATTGCTTTTAAATAATGGATAATTGCATTGACTTCAGATTTCTTTTGAAATTCCTGAAATTTGCCATAGTGGAGATGTACCTCTTGCATTGTTTCTTCTACAACAGGTTTCATGCATAACACTTTCTGAAAAGTGGCTTCAGCCTTTCCATATTCACCAGCTTCTATATACATTCTTGCCAGGTCTACATAAGCAATCTCAAATGTGGGCTTTTGTTCCACAGCAAATTCAAAATGAAATATGGCTGCTCTTATCATTCTGTCTACCTTTTCCCTATTCTGCCATCTAGGCTGCATTTTTGTAGCTTCTTTTATTTGGATTATTTGTGCCCTGTAGCAAAGCCCTATCTGGTGGTGCAGGAAGGCAGAAGTGGGTGTTGCCTGCAAGGCCATTTTTAAGTACTGAAGAGCTTTTTCCACAAAGCCTCTTCTTCGGTAAAACTTGGCTGCATATCGAAAGACATAGGTCTGTGAGGACATGTTATTCAGAGCTTCTTGAATGTACTTTTCTCCTTCATCTTCCTGTCCTTCATCCTGAAGCTTCAGGGCAAGGAGAACCTTAACATATGTATCCTCTGGATTTAGACTGACAGCCTTCCTTAGGGGGTGTAAAGAAAACTCCTCGTGACCTTTTATTGCTGATTTAAAGCCATCCAGGCGATAGGCAGTGATGGCATACCCACTGTTGAACTCAGGGTTTTCGGGGTCCACTTCCAGCGCCTTTTCAAAGCAGGCCTTGGCCCGTTCATAATTCTTTCCTCCACACTTCAGCAGGGCCCATCCTTCCTCACAGTCCATCTCCGGACATTCCATTCTATAGCGGAAGAGATTTGCAAACTTCTTGCAGGTGTCCTCCACCTTGTCCAGGTGAGCCTGGACGTCCGCCAGCCTGCCCATGTGGTAATACACCCAGGCAAAGTTGCCCCAGGTCACCACACTCCTCACGTCTGATTGGCCAGCGCACTCTGTCTGGATTAAGTCTTCAGCTTCTTTCAAGCTCTCCAGGGCTTCGTCATTCTGGCCTTTCAGGTGTTTCACATAGGCCAGTAGGTTGTGTATTCCCACATTGTATTTGCTGTCTAGGAACTCAATCTGGTCCAAGACCCTGTTTTCTAAATCAGGCATTTCAGAGTCCTCAATTTGCAACCCCCAGGTGAAGTGACATCTCAACTGAACCAGGTTATCCTTGACCCGTTGATCATCAGCATTCTGACTGCGAACACAAAAGCAGATTTTCCTTGTTAGGCAAGGAACAGCCAAAAGAAAGAGGCTGGATAAAACACTTTGTATTTTAATGCTTATCCTTGGATTTTAGTGGTGTAACAACAATTTGTGTGTATAGTTCTATGTCATTTTTTCATATGAGTGAACTCATGGAACCAGTGCCTTACTCAAGATACAGAATTACTCTGTCACCATCACATTTCCCTCATGCTAACCCTTTAGCATCATACCTGTCACCTCCTCACCTGCACCCCTAAATATCCTGAGCCCTTGGTAACCACTAATTTGTTCTTCATCTCTGTAATGTTGTCATTTTAAGAATGTCATATAAGTAGAGAATATCATACAAAAGAATAGTTCAATGTACAAAAATCAGTCAATGTAATATACCACATTAATAGAATAATGGGAAAGAAATCACACGACATCTCAATTGATGTAGAAAAAGCATTTGACAAGATTCAACACCCTTTTATGATAAAAACACTTAACAAACTACTTATAGAAGGAAACTATTTCAACCCAATAAAGGCCATAAGTGAAATATCCACAACTAGCATCATAGTCAACCATGAAAAACCAAAAGATTTTCCTTCAAGATCAGGAACAATGAAAGGATACCCACTTTCAACACTTTTTTTTTTCTTTTTGGAGACAGAGTC